CCAGATGTGGATGTTAAAGGCCCAGACTGGCACCTGAAGATGCCCAAGGTGAAAATGCCCAAGTTCAGCATGCCTGGCTTCAAAGCAGAGGGCCCGGAGGTGGATGTGAACCTGCCCAAGGCCAACATTGACATCTCAGCACCTAAAGTGGACATTGACGTTCCAGATGTGAATATTGAAGGTCCAGAAGGGAAACTGAAGGGCCCCAAGTTCAAGATGCCAGAGATGAACATCAAAGCCCCCAACATCTCCATGCCAGATTTTGACCTGAATCTTAAAGGGCCTAAAGTGAAAGGAGATGTAGATGTCTCACTTCCGAACGTTGAAGGTGATTTGAAGGCGCCTACTCTTGACTTAAAAGGCCCAAAGTTAGATATGGATGTTCCAGATGTTGACATTCATGGCCCAGAGGGCAAATTAAAAGGACCAAAATTACAGATGCCTGACATGCATGTCAACATGCCCAAGATCTCTATGCCAGAAATTGACTTGAATTTGAAGGGCTCTAAGCTGAGAGGAGATGTTGATATCTCTGGGTCCAAATTGGAGGGTGACTTTAAAGCTCCTAAATTGGATGTGAAGGCTCCAGAAGTAGACATTTCTGAGCCTAAACTCAATATTGAAGCCAAGTCAAAGAAATCTCGTTTTAAGCTTCCCAAATTTAATTTTTCTAGCTCAAAAGTTCAGACACCTGAGGTGGATGTCAAAGTTAAAAAGCCTGATATTGATGTGTTCAGTCCAAAAGCTGATATTAATGCTCCCGATGTTGAAGTCCAAGGAAAAGTGAAAGGATCCAAGTTTAAGATGCCCTTCCTGAGTATTTCATCACCCAAAGTCTCTATGCCTGATGTGGAGCTAAATTTGAAAGGCCCTAAAGTCAAAGGAGACTTAGAGGTTGCAGGTCCTACCATGGAAGGAGATGTTAAAGTACCCAACATGGATATTCAGGCACCACAAGTCCATCTTAGTGCGCCTGATGTGGACGTTCACGGTCCTGAGTGGAACCTGAAAATGCCCAAAATGAAAATGCCCAAGTTTAGTGTTCCTGGCTTAAAAGCAGCAGGTCCTGATGTAACTGTGGATATACCAAAAGGAGACATCAACATGGAAGGTCCCAGTCTGAATATTGAGGGCCTAGACGTCAGTGTGGAGGGTCTGGAGGGAGGCTTAAAAGGCCCCAAATTCAAGATGCCTGACATGAATATTAAAGCTCCCAAGATCTCCATGCCCGAAATTGACTTAAATCTGAAAGGTCCCAATGTGAAAGGAGATGTGGATCTTTCTCTTCCCAAACTTGAAGGAGATCTGAAGGGGCCGGAAGTTGATATGAAAGGCCCCCAAATGGACATCAATCTTCCAGATGTGGATGTTCATGGTCCAAACTGGAACCTGAAGATGCCCAAGGTGAAAATGCCCAAGTTCAGCATGCCTGGCTTCAAAGCAGAGGGCCCTGAAGTGGATGTTGCTCTCCCTAAAGCTGATATTGACATTTCTGTCCCTCATGTAGACATTGAAGCACCAGATGTGAATATTGAAGGTCCAGAGGCAAAACTGAAGGGCCCCAAGTTCAAGATGCCGGAGATGAACATCAAAGCCCCAAAGATCTCTATGCCTGACATTGATCTTAACCTGAAAGGACGGAAAGTAAAAGGAGATGTGGACATTTCTCTGCCCAAAGCTGAAGGCGACCTAAAGGG